TGTATTATCTTATTCTAGAGATGGGTCAAAAGAAACTTCTTGCAGATAGATCTGAAGCCTAGTGTTTATCATAAATGATGTTTCTTCTTTGTGCTAAATACTGTCTTTGTTGCTACCCACCATTTTCCTGCTCTTGGTGACCAAAAGACCATGTTAGACCATCTGGAAGGACAGATGATGAATCCAAGAAAAGTTTTCTGGGTTGAAATTTACAGGGAAGATCTCAGAACTCTATCATTATAGTTTAGATATTTTCCTTTTGTAGGGTGGCATTTGATTACTCAATTAATGTATACAGATTAGCTTGAGATTTTACAAGAAAAGCAGCTTTGGAGGTTTTTGTACTGCAGATAATTTATGTTTCTCCAAACCATTTACAAATGTGATAAATGTTTTAGCCCTGACCCATGGAACTTGGTTATCTGTTTTGAAATGTACTCCCTTATTGCTATCCTTTGGATCCATTTCTAGCAGACTTATAGCTGTAACAAAAGACCCCCCATCATCATTCCCAGTTTATAAGGTTTATTTTTTTTTAAAAAAACCCTTTAATCATAAAATGTTTTCAAATCTCCTGAAGATGCCATTAAGTATGTACTTACCAATCGTCATCCTTCTGGCCTGAAAGGATCCTACTAGTTATGAATTGCCCTTACAGAACTGATTTGCTTTATATTGCTGGTACTTTTAAAACCCCTACTATGTGCAAGGCTCTGGGATAGTGCTAGAGTGAAAGAAACCAAAATGAATCCTACCCTCATCTTAGGGTTCACAGTACTCATAAGGTATGCACACACAGCTATGATACAAGCATAGGCAAGTGTTAGAAGAAATAGGAGTGATTTCCTCTCCTGGGAGAGTTGCATTTGAGATGTGTGGTTCCCATCTGAATTTGAGTGGGGTGGGAGTGGGGGGCAAGGCACTGAAGTAGATTAGATGGAACTGACAAAGGCATGGAGTCCTGAAAGCTTGTGACGTGGTGAACTGTAATTCTTTCTGTTTGCTTGAGGCAAAGGATATGGAAGGAAATGGAAATAAGTTTGTAAGCTGGATAGTCAGCTTCTAAATGCATCTCAGTATGGAGCTAAGGGCTTTAGATTTTATTTAGTAGGCAATATAGAACATTTGATTAGTTGTAGTAATATTAAAGTACAGCAGTGACATTATAGTTGCTCTTCAAAATATGTAAAATGGCACAGAATGGGGGAGGCTGTAGCCCAAAATACAACACAGGAGGTGGTAGGAGGTGGGAAGACAGAACCCTGGAAAGGCTGTGGTTGGGAAATACATGAAGTATGCCAGGATAAAAAGAGGTGCAAATATCTGAGAGATCATTTAAATTCTTCCTTTAGAACCATTTCCCTGCCTCTCTGCCTGCTAGTGAAAAGTAGCAGGCGACATGCCGTTTACTTTCAGGGAGGAGAGAAGAAACAAGATTATTTTTAAAGGAACTGAGTGAACTCACTATGGAGGTCTGGATTGCTAACACAGAGCTGGCAGCTGTAGAGTAGAGTGCACCCTTCAATTTGGGTAGAAGGGCCCAAATGAATGATTGCTTCCTGTCCACCCCACATGAAGTATAGAGAGCCCCCCGGAAGAAAACCAACAGGAAGACAGAACTGCAGTGGGAGCCCACATAACCCAGCAAGAAAAGGTAACCCCAGCCTTCACGCTTCCAGATGAAAACCTATGGAGCTTATCCCCCTCTGTAAGTGTAGGTTATGTGTAGCGATTTTCTTCCATGAATACAGTATGAAAGTGGGGGAAGGAAGTAATTTTGCAGTAGAGAAATTGGATAAACACTACAGCAGTCAGGTGCTCAAACATCCACAGCACTAAGTCTTGTTGGTAGTGTGTATCCTAATATGATGTGCTAAGAATGGAATTTTACCTCTTTGGTCCTCCACCCCCTAATTCTGTCACCTTAATGTAATCATGGTAAAGAATCAGAGAAATCCCCATGGCAAGACATTCTGCAAAATGTCTCCTCTCATCTCAGATATGTCAAGGTCATAAAAATGGGGAAAGTGAGAAACTCACAGCCCAGAGGAGGCTAAGGAGATGTGACAATTAAATGTCATGTGGTGTCCTGGATAGGATGATGTAGGTGGAAATGAAAGAGATCTAAGTGAAGTGTAGGCTTCAGGTAATAGTAACAATAATGTATAATTATTCATTCATAGTAATAAATGTACTATACTAATATACTAATAATAGCCAAGCCTCAGGTGAGGTATATGGGAGCTCTCTGTATTATTATTGTTTGTTGTTGTTGTTATTCTTTTTGAGACAGGGTCTCACTGTGTAGTTCAGGGTGGTCTTGAACTCACCATGTAGCCCAGGCTAGCCTCAGACTTCAGGTGATCCTTCTGCCTCAGCCTCCCAAGTGCTGGGATTACAGACGTGTTCTACCACTCCCAGCCTGTATTATTACTATAACTTTTCTGTAAATCTAAAACTATTTTAAAAACAAGTTTATTGGAGTTCTTGAAGGAGGAAGTAAATTAGTAGTCACAGGAAGCATATCAGCAGCAGGAAAGTTAAACAGAAGAACTGACTCCAGTTGATGTTACTGGAAACAAAAAAATTTTAGAAGTTCTGCAAGAGAGAATTTAAGATATTACATCCACCAAACAAGCACAGAGTGCTTTCAAAAGAGAACAGTCTGAGGACCAAAAAGAGTGCTTAGAGGCTAAATACATAATCACGGCAATTTTAAAATTCACTAGGAAAGTTGAAAGATAATGCCAGTGAAACCTTTTAGCATATAAATCAGAGATAAAAGCAAAGACAGATTCTATGACAGAGAGATAAGAGAGATTCTATGAGCGAAAGACAAGCATGGAAGATCAATTCAGGTGGTCGTCAACTACTAGGACTTTAAGAGAAGAAATATAATCTTCTCAAATGACTTCATCTTGAAGGGAATATGTTTATGTAGTCATGATAATAAAATAAAATTGATTGACTTTTCACCCTTTAGTGTCTATCTGTAGACAAAGCATGGAAAGTTAGTTATAGAAGAGAATGACATATTATGAACCATGACCAAATGAAATAAAATTATAACTTATAGAATTTAGAAAGCTAGAAGTGGAACAAGTAGGACAAGAATATGCATGTCTGCATAGTGAGGAATAATTGAAAAACGTTAATACTGATGAAGTAAGAAACCATTTAAAATATATTATTTAAAAACAAATTGAAGGCTAGCAGAAGAGCCAAAACTAAAATTTTAAACATTGGAAGAAAGTGCTCGGGGACACAAGTGAGCAAAAGCAGACAAGGCAGACCTTGGATGAATGGGAGGCTCCAGACGATCAATGTGAGTTCGACACCAGCCTAATGAGCCCTGACTCAAAAACGTTATGGGACATAATGAGACCTGAATCAAAAACAAAACAAAACAAAACAAAAATAGGACACAAGAGGAAGATATACCACATACGACGCATAAGAATGCTGAACCCAGCTGATGAAGATACCAGTAAGCAGCAGGTGTAGAGTGAGGCGTGATAACCAGTGAAGAGTTTTGAGTGGATTCAGGGCTCTTGGTAAAATGATCTATGAATGTCTTATATATCAGAGGTAGTGGAAGCACCATAAAGACCCTCAGACCACTAAGTCCTACGCCCATAACATAGCAGTTGCTGCTGTTATAAAAGGGAAACTCATGCACGTAATGGACAATTCCAAGTACCACAAAAACAAAACAAAACAGTGGCAGTCACAAAGACCCAAAGGCATGGTGGCAGGGAGGCAGTATGGTCACCGTCTCTCCTACACCTGTTCCGGAGCCTCCCGTTCACGCAAGGTCTGCCTTGTCTGCTTTGCTCCCGACAGGCAATTCGGGCCCCGACTGGCCTGAGAAGATGAGGTCCACCTAGTTGGGCTTGTTCAGACCCCGGCCCCTGTCCACCCCCAGCTTTTCTGTACCTCTGGACTTCCGTCAAAGTGCTTTTTGCTTCTCCTAGTGCCTCTTCTCTGTCTGGACCCTCTTGGTGCTGCTGGACCCAGCAGGGTTTGCCAGTTTTTCTTGGTACTCTCTGTCCCCTTGGGGCTTTGGTAGTTTATAAAAATCTGATCCTTCTCCCCATCTGACTGCCCTTTCCACTTTCTTTTTTTCTTCCATTGCTAAATTATACATATACCGGATATATGTATGGCCCAAGCACCTGTCCTCGACTGCACTGTCACATCTGAACGGGACCTATCGGGGTGATGATCACCTGGGCATAGAGGAAGGAGCTTCCTCTCAACCAGCTAAGAAATCCAGTTTGTGTTTTTAGCAAGTATGGAGGATCTCGTTCGAAGATCAGGTCTCTCTTCCGTACTGTCTTCTAGAAATCAGGAGTGGGGCAGGAAGGAAAAGATAGCTACTGTCAAAAACATTTTGCCAGTGGCAGAGTGCCCATTAAATTAGGGGTGTTATTACTTTAAGGGTCCTCCAAACTGATTGGAAGCAACACTTTGATTTCTTAGGTGGTTGGGGACATGCAGTCACTGTCCCTGAGGAGTCCCGTTCAGGCGTGACCCAGTGTAATTCCTTAGGGTTGCAGTCACAAAGAGCCACAAGCCAGGTGCTTGAGAACAACAGAAATGTCTCATCTGGTGGTTCTGGAGACCGGAAGTCTGAAATCAAACGGCAGCTGCCCATGTGGCGCTCCAGTTCCTGGGGAAGGATCGGTTCCAGGCTTCTTCTTGGGCTCTGGTGCCAGTCTGTGGTGGTCCTTCTTTCTGCTGCATTACCCTGTCATCTCACTTCCTCCCCCATGGGCTTCTCCCTGTGCATGTCTGTCCCTCAAATCCCTTTTTTTAAAGGGCCCCAGTTGTATTGGATAAGGGCCCACCCTATCCACTGTGACATCTCCACCAATCCATCTGCAATGCTCCTGTCTCCAATTCGGGCCGCTTTCTGAGCTCCTGGGGCTGGGAGTCCACACAGGAATTCAGGAGGGACACAGCTCCCCTCGTAACTCCCTGCCTCCTTCCTGTCTCAGCAGTACCACGACAAGTGGGGGCGAGAATGAGCGTGAGGACCTGGAGCAGGAGTGGAAGCCCCCCGATGAGGAGCTCATCAGGAAGCTGGTGGATCAGATTGAGTTCTACTTCTCCGATGAAAACCTGGAGAAGGACGCCTTCCTCCTGAAGCACGTGCGGCGGAACAAACTGGGCTACGTGAGCGTCAAGCTGCTCACCTCCTTCAAGAAGGTGAGGCATGTGTCTCAGCAGCTGCTTTGAGGATGGCAGGGTGGGGTGGGTGGCATCAAACAGTTTTTACCTGCTTGATGCCTGATGACTAGCAACTTTTAAAAATTAGATCTGAAGCCTAAGAAATAATCAAGAGAAAGGATTTAGGCTCTCTGAGAAGAATATGCTTGCACTATGAAAAATATACTTCTAAAAGGATCCCGGGCACTGGGATAGATCTCAGTTGGTGACAGTAACAAAATGCTAATACTCATTCTTAGTATTAGCATAATGCGGATGCCCAGGAGGGGTGCTGTACCAGGGCTGGGTAATTGAAGGCCTCAAGAGACACCTGTCAGCCTAGAATTCCATGAATTCATTTGTCAAATTGAGTATATACAGGGGGTGGGGCTGCCAGACCTCTGGGAAATGAGTCTTTTCTAGGCTGCCAGTGTGATGTGTATGATGTCAGCATCCCTCCTATATGAGAGAGATCAGAGAGGGGAAGTCTCAGAACTGCAGGCATCTGAGCAGCGGGCTGCTTGTGCTTGCTATGCAGAAACATGGCGTCTGGGCTCTGAAATCACTGCTTTGCAGAAAATTGACAGCCCAGTAGGGGTAAGAACTCTGTGTTTCCCTCGGGGAAAGCTATTTACTAGAATGGAAAAGCACCACGTGACCTGTTGCATAACGGGCTGTGTAATAAGTGGGTTCCAGCCAAGTTCCCTGTGCACTTGGTCACGGAGCAGAGCTTTGCTCCTGGGAGTTCTTCGCCTCGCCCACTGATTGCTCTGCCCTCTTCTCCAGCTCTTTCATTCTTTTACTGATTATTCATTCATCAAACATATGCTTTCTGTCTGCCAAGTGCTTTGTTAGCTACAGCATGTACAAAATAAATATGGCACCCACCTCTGCCCTTATAAAGCTCACAGTCCAGTAAGAGAGAGGGAGCCAGGGAAGATTACAATACAACCATAAAGAGATGGATCAAAAACAAAGTATGGCTGGAAGCTAGTTGATCGGAGCAGCTAGTGTTATCTGGAGATCTGAAATCTTTCCAGAGGCGGTGTCAATGGGATAGGGTCTCAGAGGATGAGCAGTCGTTTTCAAAGTAGAAGGGAAGGAAGGGATATTTCCTGTCCAGAGAACAGTGAGCAAGCCTGTAAGTGAGAAGTGTTTGTGGGGAATCCCCCTGCACTTTCTCTTGCACTTTTGTGCCCCCCAGGCACCCTGAGGGTCAGCCTGATTTCCTTTCCTTTCTAAGCTGCCGCTAGGGAGCTATCCAGGAGCACTCTTCTCTGTTGAAGACCAGCTGCAGCCTAGAGATGGAGCCCTCCCCACCCCGACAGCAGAGCAGAGATGCTTTTCATTTGCAAAGGTGTTCTGCTGATCACAGTGGAAGGCAGGTACAAGTGACCAAGGTTATCAGTACAGAGTAAATGCAGAGTTTCGGAAGATCTCATAAAGCTCTTGTAGTAATTGCACAAGGATCAAAAGTCCCTGGCTCCTCTTTTAAGGTGGTACTTGGGCACTTCTAATAAAGGGTCGCAGTCACAGGCCTGGGATGCTTTGCTCCTGGCTCTGGAGGGCTCTTTGGTCCTGTCACAAGTCTTTTGCTTCTGTCCTCATGGGACCCAGCCTGCCGCCGGCTTCTCTAGCCCTCCAAGTAAGACAGCACTTGCCTGCCCCAGGTCCCAGTTGCTCAGATCTCAGGGCTTGGACAGAGTTTTTTCTCCTCTCCTGAATCTCCCTCTCCAGCTGTCTTCGGAGGCAGCTCTGTCCACCATGTCTCACCCCTAGAGAGCCACTGCCTGGCTTTCTAACAACCTTGCAATGACTATCCATCTGAAGTCCCACGTCATCTGGACCTGCTGCTCTGTGCCTTTGGCCGGTGTCACGGTGGTCAGCCCACTGGCACTGTATGTAGGTGACTTGTGATTTACACACCCTCAGCCTAAGTCTGGGTCATTTCACCCAGAGGCCACAGGTTCCATTGGACAGCCGTCCCTCTGCAGGAGCCTTGACTGCATGCATGGCTCTGCCCCACGGACCCCCAGTTACTGAGCCTTCACTCCTTGCTTTCCAGGCAGTTTCTGTTTGAGGCTCAGGGGCCCTGAGAGTTCCCAGTTCTTCTGCAAAACAGTTGCATTGGCCTGGCCTCAGAGCACTCAGGGTGATTTCGCCATTCCTGGCTTAGGTTACCCACCCCACCCACCTCTACCGTTTCTTCGGGATGACTCATTCTCTTTGGCATTCCCTGCCCCGGAAGTGGGCCTCTAGAAAATAACTGTTTTACAATATAAATATAGCTTTCATATACTGCAGTGTCAAGATACAAAATTTCCATCAAGGGAGACAGAGGGAGGGATTATTTCATCATCCTCCAAGAGGCCCAAGTTGGATTTCTGTTCCAGGTTGAAATAGTCCATGTCATTCTCATGCAGCACTGCAGAGAAATATGGACAATCTGTCAGACCCTTCTCTGTATTAACTGTAGAATTGCAGAAATACAGCTTCCAAGGAACATTTGATGTTAAACTCTCCAAGTCCTATCAAAATAATAGCTATTTATTTTGAAAGGATAACATCATTATTGAATATTCATTGAGAACCAGGCATTCTTCTACATTTTATATATAAATGTGCGTCTCTGTGTATATATATTTTCTATTCATTTAATCTTCCTGACAGTTCCATGAGGTCAACACTAATAACATTTCCATTTTACAGATGAGGATTGTGAGGCACTAAGAGCCTGAATAACTTCCCAAGTCTTTCTGCGAGTTAGAGGCGAGGCTTGGGCTCATGTCTACAACAGTTGCCCTAGAGTTAACCCATGAACTTGCACAAAATTGAATCTCCCCATTGTCTTGGGCTGTTCTCTTGGGTGAAACCACTCTAAACCTCGACCCTCATCCAAAGTTGTAGAAAATGTTTTCTTCCATTGGATCTTTGAGTGTCACATGACTGTTGTGAGTCTAGGGACTAGGAGGGAAGGAGGAAGGTAGCAGCATACATGAGGTCAAGTGGCAGTTAAGGACATTGGGTACCATTTCCCGTTTGCTTTTATGTTCTCCAGGTGAAGCACCTTACTCGAGACTGGAGAACCACAGCTTATGCCTTGAAGTATTCAGTGACCTTGGAGTTGAATGAGGACCACCGGAAGGTGAGGAGGACCACCCCTATCCCACTGTTCCCCAACGAGAACCTCCCCAGCAAGATGCTCCTGGTCTATGACCTACACCTGTCCCCCAAGCTGTGGGCCCTCAGCACCCCGCAGAAGAATGGCAGGGTGCAGGAGAAGGTGATGGAGCACCTGCTCAAGCTCTTTGGGACTTTTGGAGTCATCTCATCAGTGCGGATCCTCAAACCAGGGAGAGAGCTGCCCCCGGATATCCGGAGGATCAGCAGCCGGTACAGCCAGGTGGGGACTCAAGAATGTGCCATTGTGGAGTTCGAGGAAGTAGAAGCAGCCATCAAAGCCCATGAATTCATGATCACAGAATCTCAGAGCAAAGAGAACATGAAGGCTGTCCTGATTGGTATGAAGCCACCCAAAAAGAAACCTTCCAAAGATAAAAACCATGACGAGGAACCGACGGTGAGCATCCACCTGAGCAAGTCCCTCAACAAGCGAGTGGAGGAGCTTCAGTACATGGGGGACGAGTCCTCTGCCAACAGCTCCTCTGATCCCGAGAGCAATCCCACCTCCCCCATGGCTGGCCGGCGGCACGTGGTCCCTAACAAGCTCAGCCCTTCTGCCCACCAAAATCTCTTTCTGAGCCCAAATGCCTCTCCATGCTCAAGTCCTTGGAGCAGCCCGCTGGCCCAGCGCAAAGGCGTTTCCAGAAAATCCCCACTGGCCGAAGACGCTAGACTGAATTCCAGCACGAGTCCCGAGATCTTCCGCAAGTGCATGGATTACTCCTCAGACAGCAGCGCCACGCCTTCGGGCAGCCCCTGGGTGCGGAGGCGCCGCCAAGCCGAGATGGGAACACAGGAGAAGAGCCCGGGGGCGAGTCCCCTGCTGTCTCGGAAGATGCAGACTGCAGACGGGTTGCCTGTGGGGGTGCTGAGGCTACCCAGAGGCCCCGACAACACCAGAGGGTTTCACGGGGGACAGGAGCGGGGCCGGGCCTGTGTATAAATCCCTTCCCTTAATATCAGCTCCTTTGGAAACCATCTTTGTTATCAAGGGTCTCACCAATACCCGGCATGACGTAGAGAGGAATTCAGTCTCCTTTGAAAGATTTTGTATACACAGAGACCTCTTAATTTATATATTTTGTAAGGTATGCAAATTGTCTAGTGTGCCAGGGCTCAGAACATTTATTCTTCCCAGCATGGTATTATGTCGATGTCCCCTGACCCAGGATAGTGGTTCTGGAGGGCTGTGGCATGGCAGCTCCCTGGGGAGGATCTGGTAATAATGGGTCTCTTTTTGGGGACTGGGCTTTTCCCTACAGGGAACGAGCTGTCCTTGACAGGCTGAGCAAAGGCTTTGTAAGAGCCCAAAGGAGTTTTGTTGTGCAACAGCAAATAGTTAAGCCAACAGCATGGTGTCTTACAGGACCATACGTATGCTCCCTGTCAAGTGAATAAATAATAAAACACCCACCGGAAGTGCTGGCTTCAAGGTCATGGGCTGCGCCCAACACAGGTCTGTGTGCATCTGACAAGGCTGCAGGTGGCATGTCGTGAGGCCCTAGGGAGTTCAGCAGGGGTGTACACCCTCAGCGCACCCCACAGGCTCTCCCTGGGGCTCCTGGAAGCCTGAGGGGCTTCTTATCACAATGCATCTTTCTGAGGGGACTGCCTAGAGCAGACCAGGTTTCTCTAGAGAGGAGGCTGGACTTAAAGCACTGGCCTCTCGTGGAACTTTGGTAGAAATGCAAGTTCTTAGGCCACTCTGGGCCTGCTGAACCAAAAGCTCTGGGAGGACGGCCTGGCATCTGGGTGTTGACCAGCCCTCCAGGTGATTCTGGTACATGACAGTGTGGGAACTGCTGGTGGGGACCACGGCCGTAGGGCTTGTGCTCTGCTAGACTGACTCACATGTCTCTCTCTATTTGGTGAGCCTGGGATGATTACTGAGTTTCCTGAGCCTCTTTCTATCCCGAGGAAGTGCTGTGTCAGGATGTCAGTGTCTGGAGTACCCCTGGCCTCCTAAATGTCATCTTTCCTTCTCACTTGGGTTAATGTCCATTATCATCGGAAACTGTCTTGGAGCCAGGAGTGCTGGTGCATGCCTATCATTCCAGCACTCTGGGAGGCTGAGGCAGGAGGACTGCAAGTCAGTGGGCAACTTGGGGACTTAACAAAACCTGGCCTCAAAATTAAAAAATTAAAAAGGGCTGGTGATCCAGCTCAGTTCAGATGTCCTGCATTCAATCCTGTATTGCAGAAACAAAAAAACAAAACAAAAAGCCATCTTGGTGTACTAGAAAGACCTCTAGCCTAGATTCCAGGGTTGACTTGTGCACTTGTGATGTGTTAAGTATTAGAACTTTCACTAAGCTTCGGACAGTGAGTATTTTCCACAAGTACTAAGCTAAGAGCTTTCCACGCACTATCTCATTTAATCCTCCCAAAAACCACGTGAAAAAAGCTCAGGTATCTCTACTTGGTACCACAAAAAAACAGATGCTATGTGGTTAACCAACTTGTTCCAAAGCTGAGCAGCTAGACTGCCGGAGCCAGGCCTGGCGGTCACATTCTTGACTACTGCACCATATGTGATGTGGCTGAGCCTGACCATCCACAGTCACAAGATGCGACCAGAAAGTACTGGCGTTTGTCCTACAGCCACTGCTGTGCTGGGCATTTTGTTAGACATGTTAGACATGTTATTCCACTCATCCTCATGTTTCCGTAAGGTACTGTTCCGGTTTTACACGTGAATCTATTGGGGGAGGAGAATAACACTCACCTCGGCCAATCGTGGAAATGCAAGATGCCACTGTACTTTAAATGATACAGCTCGACACAAGTTAGCATGTGATTAGCATCTGGCTAGTAAGTTGATCCTGGGCTCCTTAGGCCCTTATGTATCCCATAAGTCCCAGAAGAATTTCTGTGACCGGATAAATAACCTCAGGAGTTTCTCAGATTTGCCATTGCTACCACTGCCTGGTATAGGCAGCCCAAAGGCTGGATCTAGACCCCAGGCCTTGGGCCTCCCAGGTCTGGGCAGTATCATGGCAGCCTCCTTGACTTCACTAACTCTTTTCCCATCATCCTTCCCCGCTCCTCCCCACCTGCTCCTGGCCATCGGGCCATCTAGGCTTCCACAGCTCTTCTTGGCATGGTCTTAAGCTATTCTACCCCTTTACATTTCAGTATACTCAACTCTAATTTCAGGTGAACACCCATGAATCACAGTTACTTTTTAAATACCTACATTTTCACTTTCTGAGTGGATACAGATGAACTTGGCTTTCTCTCTGAGGTATGACCCTGGGTGGTGTTATAAAAACGCCCTGAATCTGAAACAAGCAGGTCTGTCTAAGTTCAAGTCATGGCTTTTCCAGTATTGGCTTCCCCATGTGATCAGTGGATGGTAATCAGATATTCTTTACATAATGCCACATATGTGTGAGTGCTTTCTGAATCAAGAAGGGCTTTGTAGATGTTAGTTATTATTTATGCGGCTCTCTAGTCCCCTCCCAAGACAAACCGTCCTTTGGCTGTGGGTTTTCACCTTCTCTTCATGTTCGAATCACCTTGAGAGCCCATCCTGAGATGTGATTTATCCAGTTCTGGGCGGAGTTCTCCCAGGTGATTCCAATGGGATGCTCTGGTCCTTAACAATGAAGAGGGAGGGGCCTGAGGGACATCCATCCCCCCTTCTTCTCCAAGGCTTGGTCCTCCTCTCTGCTCTGTGAGGCACTCACCATGTTCCAGAGGTCTGAGCATTTTGCCAACGAACCTGCTTTTTCTTAAGCTCTGGCCAAACCTTCAACTGGGACATAGTCTTCCTGTTTGTTAGCATAGCAGGCCTTTCTTGAATAGCTTGACTGGGAAGCCCAGCCAACAGTATTTTTACAGATGTTTCACTCTCTTTAATGAAAACCAGCTCCCTCTCTACCTTGGAACATGGAGCCTCTGGACATCTCCCCTTGAGGTGCTGGCAGAACATCCATGCTCGGCACCCGGCCCACACATCACCTTGTCTTCCCGCATGGCCACCGCACATATGTCTACTTGCTCCTCCTCCTGACTCCCCACCTCAGCCGGGGATGAGGTGCTGTCACCATCTCCTGAGTCACCCAGACTGGAAATGAGACCACCTAGCAATGGGGGGAAAGATGCAGATTCTAGAGTTCACCACCTGAGTTCAGAGCTTAATGACCATTGACAGATGACTTGGCTTCCTTGTGCCTCAATTGCCTCCCCCATGTACGGTGGACGCTGTTAATTCCTGTGATTTGTTAGAATTAGGGGAGTCAGTACCAGAAGCGCCTGCACAGGGTAAGTGCTCAAAGACTGTGAGGCTGCCATACTTGTACCTGCTCCTTCCCAAGGATCACACTCCCAAAAGAATGCGGAACTAATCATTTGAGCTCTGCCTTGTTTGCTATCTGCTCCCTCCCTCTCCCCAGTTCCCTACGTCCTTCTTCTAAGGTCTTCTCACCTCCAGCTGTCCTCCTTAACCTCTCCTCCATTGTACCATGTATCACAAAGAGCTCTGGTCCCTTAACTTCAACACTGAAAATAAAATTGCCTTCTGCCTCAAGACAAAAGACTGAACCGCCGAATGCCCCCTGGTTTGCTGTGCTTCTTGTTGGGAAGACTGCAGATTACAGCGGGGACCCCGCATCCTCTGGGAGCGCAGGGTGACGCTCCCAGCTGGCAGGCTCCACATCCCAAAGTGTGACTGGGTGTGTGTTTCCCTAACTGTGCATCGCTTCAAGGTGGGGCTGGGCTGAACACGACTGCTTGGTCTCCGCCACAGAAGCCTGAAACGCAGGAGCAAATACTGAAAACACACTGCTCATCAATGATTTTTAAATACCCTCCCCTACAACACGAAGTAGCTTTTCCTGGTAATTTTTGCATACATGCTTGGGAGTTGTAAATCATGGAAGAGCAACCCAGGAGTGAACAGAAGAGATCAGGGGAGGAAAGGATTGGCGAACAGGGGACATCCACCTCTTCCCAGCTCTGGCAGAGTCTTGGGAGTGCTTATTCCTTCACGGAAAAGTAATCCTGAAGGCTGCAGCCTTAGTGCTCAGCCTCGGCCCGCTGTGACTTGGTCAGCTGGGGTGGGGGATGGCATGCCGGCTGTTGATCTCTCTGGGGTTTGGGGGCACATCTAGAGTGTGGGTAAAACCCACGGGCAAACTCGCCATCTTCCTTGGGCCAGCTTCTAGCTAAGCAGCTGTTAGCCACCACCCTGATTGGGAATCAGCTGTGAGATGAGCAGAAGAAGCAGGATACATATGTGCCTTGTGACCGTGCGCAGACATTCAATTATTCCACAAACATTCCTGAGCAGTGCTACAGGTAAACGAAGCCGCAGGCTGCAGGGCTTTGATGAAAGATACATCCTGTGGTACTTGTCCTTATCTGTGACTGGAGCGTGCAGTGGGTTCAGACGGGCCTCGTGGACACTGCGCCAATAGTCCCCCCTCCTTCAAAGATGCTTAGGGGAAGACCAATTCCTTGGGGCTACCCGTGGGTCCCCAGAGGCAGCTTCCTCCCATTCTTTCGCCACCTCAGCGCCCTCTAGTGTCCAAAATGGAATGTAGCCTATGTAAATGATCGCCACCTGGCCTTGGTTGAGTCGAGCCTATAATGGGGCATAAGGCTCAGTTTAATTCCATCCCTGCCCGCTTGCCAAACTGAGAGGTCCATCCCACCTCTTTATACTTCAGTTCTCTCGCCTGTAAAATGACACTCACGCCTACAGCGACAGTATTCTTGTGAGCTTTAAAGGGTGTCATACTGCGCACATACCAGCATCTTAGCATTTAAAAAAATTGTCCCCCCCAAATATATCTTCACTAAAACCCTCATTCTAAGTTAGAAGGATGGGAAAGACTTACCTAGAGCATGTGTCAGTCTGGTTACGGTCAGTTGCTCTGGCTCCATTTCCTTGCCTGAATGGGAGCCAGGGGGTCGGGACAACATACCTAACACATCTTGCAGGGTCTGGCCCATGCCAGGAGCTCAGGAAATATTTGTTGAGGTATATAGAATAAAGAACTTATTTTTCTCCAGCCTTAAAATATTGTACAGTGTCATATAGATTTAATGTTTCCAATTATCCGAGCAGACCATCTGGCACTGTATGTAGATTCCAAGGGATCTATAATTCAGCATTGCTCGCCAACTTCCCTATGTCTGGAATGCTCTGGCCCTGGAATACACCTTGGAGTCTCTGCAGATGTGGTCATGAGTACGAAAAAGTGTGGTAAAGTCTGGAATGGGGACTCCTGAGCTCTGCACTCAGAGGACCCTGGAAAGGAGAACTCTCTCTTGGGATGGGAGTTGAGGGAGCTTGGTTAATGGGGTGGGAGCCAAGGGCCAGTAAGGGGCTTTCAGAAGTCAGGACCCAAAAGACGCAATAGGCTGCCTCTTTTTGTCTGCCATGACAGTGCTGGTCTTATCCTGAATAACCAGAAGGATGCTCAGATGGGCCAGTCCCACGAACAAGTTTCTGGATGAATTCCACTGCACACACAACTGAGGCTCTAATCTGTCATGCGAAGTTGTCAGACTGCGGTGAAGAACAGATAGAGTCTGTTATGAATGTGAACATTTTCTTTATCCAAAAATTATTCTTCTAATACCACAAGCCCACAACCAAGAAGAAAACATAAATGAAGCAGACAAGTAGATTAGGCCTGATTTTAAACATAAGAAATATCACAGGAGAAATTCCAACTATTCTAGTATTTTGAAGGAGCTAAGTGTTGAGACAAAGGCTTGGTGTTTTTTTGGGTTGTACAATCTCTTCACAAAATGGAGGAGTGGGCTTTGCTATTGAGAACCAATGAGCAGCTGGTAGCTACAGATTTATAGAGTGCAACATCTGTTTTTTGTTTAGTGTAGCCTTAAGACAATTTAAGGAGATGGAGTCCATAAAAACTCAAGTTCCTTGAAATTAACAGCCTCTCAGGGAACTTAACAGTAGATCAAATAAAAGTGTCAAGCTTTGCAGCCTTTGCAGATGAGCAAATAACCGGGTTGGGGAGCATGAGATAACTGTGAAGAAGTCCACTAGGGGCTTGAGCCGTTGTATCCATCTAAATCTTGCCTTCTCCATAAGGAGACGTGAGCCAGGACACCTAAGCGGGTAGTTGGGATTCCTTTGAGGCAAAAAGTGGGGCTGTGCTGAGACCTCCTTTAAAGTAACACCAAAAATACAATACCAACTTCAACAGATCACCTGATCGAGAAATCCTATTAAATTCAAGGTGTCGATGGGTAAGTGAATGCTTCTTCCATGGCAGGAGCTGATTTAATTGTGGAAGTAGAACAGCAAACAAGACTTAGGTATATTCTAGAAGGAGGCAAGCAATGCACAGATAAAAATGAAGCAAAACAATGGTGTAGAAAATGACAGTAGGGGGCGCTATTTTTCAGTTTTCGTATTATGAAAATATTTCAGGGAAATACCAAAGTAGAGAGTTCAGTGAACTCATATATTGCCCAGATGCAAAAGTATCCATTTTCCTACTTTATTTCATTGGCTTTTTCCTTCCCCCCTCCTCTCTTCCTTCCTTTTCCTCTTCTTTCTTTTTTCTTCCTTCTCCTCCTGCTTCTCGTCTTTCTCTTCCTCTTTCTTCTTCCCTAAAATATTCTAAAGTAAATTCCACACTTCATTTTTTTCACCCCAACACACTTCAGGGAATACTTCTAATAATTAAGGGCCGGTTTTTTTTGAAAAGTTTTCATTAAATCAGTGTATAATTTATAAAATTATAGTTCTTTTTTTGCTGTGTAGTATTCCATTATGTACCACAATTGCTTATCCACATCATAGACAAAAGTTAACTGAAAACAAATCAAATCTTACATCATAAGAAAGAGCTTTAAAAGAAAAATGATAAACCATAATTCATTCAGTTAAAAACTTTTGTTCTATGAAAGATTATTAAAAAATGAAAAGTTAAGCCATAGACTGGGAGAAAGTAATTACAGATCACATAACTGACAAAGGACTTATACCCACAATATATAAAGAACCCTTAATATTTAAAAAAATTTTTGTATTATTTATTTTAAAAATTTAAAAAACTGACAAAACAACAATGAAGACAAAATCAAAACAACACAAAAACAACAAAAATGATACATGACCGCAAGAACAAATGATAGAAATTTACAATAGTTGCTGTATTGCATACTGTTATCTTCAATGAAGTTGCTCAGTCCATTCAACCTAAGAATGTAAGTTTGATCAAACAAGCAAAGACACTAACAAGTAAAAAAAAAAAAATAAAAATAATTTAAAAAAAATGGAAATGGTGCAGAACTTCACCACACAAAATGGTAGGAGTTCAACAATGGTTCTTATACTGCATATTGTTTTCAGATCAGTCATTCTAATTACCAAATTCAGGGGTGTAAAACTGGTGAAGAAAAAAAAATTTTAAGCATTGTTCCTTTCAATAAAGTACATATATTAGCAATACGCCTATTCCAGCTATCCTTATGTATACATATACATTTTGTTTTTCATTTTTAAAAAAACCAACATAACAAAAACAAATACATAAACAAAACAGCATAGAGAGCAATAAAAATGATACAAAATTTCAAAACATGGTGATAGGATATTAACAATCATTGTTATACTACACAATGTCAATTTCAAAATGGTTGCACGTATAATCAGATATAGGCATGCAAGATGGATCAAACAATTACACATTAGCAGCTCCTTTCAATAAACCAACAGATATTAGTAGTACAATTATCCTAGCTATCCGATGTGTATATATATATATTTTTTTTCCCTCTTCCTTCTTTTTCCTCTGCCCCACTTCATCCCCATTTCTCCTTCCTATTTGAGTAATTTCTTTTCCCTTTCACAATATCTAATGTACCTTTCAGATTTTATTTACTCTTTCAGGTTCTTATAGTAGGGAGGAAATACAATGTTTGCACATATGAATCTGATTTATTTCACTAATAAGTATGGTCTCTAGCTGCATCTATTTACATAGAAACACCTCTAGCTTATCTTTCTTTATAGCTGAGTAATACTCCATTGTATAAAGGTACCACATCTGTTTTATCCATTCCTCAGTTGATGGACATTTGGGTTGTTTCCAAGATTTAGCTATGACAAATTGTGCTGCTGTAAACATAGGTGCACATATATCACTGTGGTATGATGTTTTCATTTCTTCTGGAAAAATACCCAGGAGAGGAATAGCTGGGTTGAATGAGCCCTCTAAGCCTAGTTTACTGAGGAACCTCCAGACTGATTTCCACAGTGGTTGCCCCAGTCAACACTCCCACCAACAGCGGAGAAGAGTTCCTTTTTCCCCACAGCCTCTCCAGCATTTGTTATTGGCTGATTTCTTGATGATAGCCATTCTTTCAGGGGTGAAATGGAATCTCAGTGTTGTTTTAATTTGCATTTCTCGAATGACTAGTGACGTTGAACATTTTTTCATTTGCCATTTGTATTTCCTCATGTGAGAAGTGTGTATTCATCTCAGATGCCCATTTTTGTATTGGGTCTTTGAATTTTGGGGGCCTGATTTTTAAAAAATTCTTTATATAA